ATGAGAATGTGTAAAATACAGGTCAAACTTTCTTTCATCGCACCAGGCCATTTCACGGGCAGCACGAAGGAGGATAACATTAACTGGATTCACAATTTTCTCAATGCAGGAAAATCTCTGCAACAGCCATTAACAGTAGTGTTGTCAATCACTATCAAGAAGAAAACTGTTTGTAGTGGCTGCACTTTTTGCATTTCTCTATAACCTCAGTTGTTTTCAATTTCTCCCCTGTCTCAGAAGATACCAATAAACCTAAAATTCAGTCCATCTGATGAAATAGATATATCCCACAAAAGTTTGTGTAATTTTTTTTTTACTTTTATTTATTTAAATGGTTTGTGTGGCCACCCCGCTCGCATCCTTGACTCCAGGCAGAGTATAAAGATTGAAACACAAATCACAACATAGAACTCATGACGCCCAAGGTAATGTATTTGTTAGTTGCTACAGTGCCACAAGTCTTTTTTGTTTGTGTGGCTACTGTCAGGAGGCAGAGAAAAACAGATCACTGCCTAGCAGAGGAAGCATTTTACAGTATGCATAATGACCTGCTGAACTCTGCTTTCTTTTCTTTCTTTTTTAAATCCCTTTTGAGAGGTGAAGAAGGAAAAAGGGGAAGTTTGCCCTTTCTCAATGTCACAAATACTGTGCAGTCATTTTTAAGGCCAAAGGTAACACAAGTCATTGCCCTAGAGCAGTGTTTCTCAACCGTGGCAACTTTAAGATGTCTGGACTTCAACTCCCAGAATTCTGGGAGTTGAAGTCCAGGTACAGGTAGTCCCCAGGTGAAGAACACTTGGGTTACAAATGATCCAGAGTTAAGAACAGAGCCTCTTGTAGCAAAATTTGAGTTAAATACACAATGATTCAAGCTAAATACACAATGGTTCAAGTTCATTACACAATACTACTTATACAGTACTATACAATAATACTGTTCTGGCTTACATACAAATTCAACTTAAGGTCAGATGTTGGGAACAGAAGTTGTTCTTAAACTGGGGACTACCTGTATCTTAAAATTGCTAAGGTTGAGAAACGGTGCCCTAGAAGTCAGGATTATCATAGGCAAATGCATTTGTGGTAAGGAGCAGCCTTTATATTTACTGTTATTCCTGAACTTCAGGATTCCAAAAAAGGATTTTTTTCTTCCTCCTATTCTTCTTACAATTGTTAGTTATGCTGAGGGAAAGTATTTGCACCAAGGCTATCCAGAAAAAGGTTCTAGTTGAGCAAAAATATGAAAATGTATTACACAGCATTACAATCCTTTAAACATTTAGATCAGTATTTTTCAAACTTTGCAACTTTAAGATGTGTAGACTTCAATTCAATGCTAGCTGGGGAATTCTGGAAGTTCAAGTCCACATATCTTAAAGTTGCCAAGTTTGAGAAACACTGATTCAGATATTAATCCTATCTTACTTTATTAGTAATCGAATGCCAATTGTGAAACCTCAACATAACCCATCAGGATTTCTAGCTTTGCAAAAATCTCTGAGCTTGGCAATGTTTCTTCAGTACATTCTGCCAAGCCATACAATCTCATTGAAATGGCTTTCAATATTTAATGCTAATGAAATTAGTTTTTTTTAAATAACTTATCTTTATTACTTTTTTTATAAGTAACTCAAGACAGCAAACATGCATAATACTCCTTCCTCCTCCTATTTTCCTCCAACAACAACCCTGTGAGGTAGGTTGGGTTGAGAGAGAGTGACTGGTCCAAAGTAACCTTGTCAGCTTTCATGCCTAATGTGGGACTAGAACTCAGTCTCCTGGTTTCTAGCTCACCACCTTATTCCCTACACCAAACTGGCTCTTTCTTAGTACTTCTCTAGAACATGCAGGCATTCCTAGAACTCTGAATTTGAGTTAGCTTTTGCTGAACTCTAAATCTCATAGCTTCAGAGAGTATATAATGGCCATTATTCACACAGTAGATTAAATCAAGTTTGTTCAATAAACCACAACACCTCATGGCTCATCACAACAGTCAAAATCAAGGGAACTTTAGTTTAATTTTTAAGGCCAAGCCAATTTATGAATAAACATTGCTAATGGTTAAGTCTAATAATTAAATGGAAGTTCACATATGGAGGCAGCATAACTCTGACCGCTAGTTGTTGGGAAGAAGTGGGGGGGGGGACTGTCTTCATATTTTGTTTGTTGCTTTCTAGAGTCTATTTGATAATAGACTTTGGGCCAATCCAGAAAGCTAATAATATTCTTACAAAGGCTGTTAAGATTTTTTTGTGTGGTCCTACTAGGTCATAACGTTTATTTACTTATAATACACAGTGACGTCTTCCTGGAGCAGCAGTGTTGCTGTGGAATGTAGACACTCTTATCAAAAACACAAATAATTATTTAGCAACCATGGACAAAGGGAAGAACTGGATAGCTCAGGCAGATTGAGCAAAACAGAGAGACACAGACTTTTTTCCTTTTAAAGTTGCAGCTCTGACAGTAAAAGAGGCCTCCTTGAACACAAGTCATTGTTGAGACACAAGCTTCTCCTGGATCCATCCACAACATACCTCATATCTGAGCCAAAACAGTTAATCTCAATTGCATGCAAGGGAAGTAGTTATATGCCCTCATACTGAATTGACTAGCCATGGGGCAGAATCTTTAAGATCACACATGATTTCTTCATTTTGTTCTGGAAGAATAAAACTGACCTCAAAAATGAGGGAGGGCGTCTAAGCAATAAGACAGAATTTGAAATGTTTATACAGAATCAAGACCACCTACTGGGACATATATATAAATTGTGACATGGAGACAGAACAAATAAAAAACTGCATAATAAAATGTTTTAAACTTTAAAGAAACAGTCACAACACAACAGTGGTAAGAATTATGGAACATATCTATTAAATTTACTCTAATCTGTTAAATTAAAGTTATAAGTTGAGAGGAAACTGGCACAAAATGTTTTATAGATGGTATACAACTCATCAATGATTGACAAATCTTATAGTAACAAATGTTGGAAATGCTATGAGACTAAAGGCACATTTTATCAAATGTGGTAGACGTGTAAAAAAACCCCGAAAGTACTGGAAAGAAATACACAGCTATTCAAAAATTTAAGGGGAAAAAGAATTGACCGATTTCAACCACACAAAATTTTTTAAATGTCTATAAATATTGTACATTAGGCAGTGTGACAAAGGGACAGTTAGAAACTAATATTTATCTATAATCTTTTTAGTAGTTTTTCTTTTCGTATTATTAAACAAGAAATAGTGGAGATTTTGGCTCTTAACTCAAGAGACTGAAATTCCTTCTTACATTGTTAAAATAATGTAATGTGCTTAAACGTAATTTAATGTTTTTTATTGTCGATTTCTAATCAAAGATATACTGAGCACTAACTGTACAATCTTCATCATTCCTTTGTCCACTTATATATTTCTGTACCAATTTTTTCTTTTCTCCTTTTGCTCGTTTTCTTTAAAAAATATTAATTAAAAAAAGTTTAAAAGATCACATATGATTTCTCCCCAAGCTTTTATGTCCCTATATGTGAAGAAGTCAATATTTAAAAAAAACTAGCAAAAGATAAAGTTGGACCATCAAGCCCGACTGAATAGTTAAGAGGCAAGGGTGGGAAGAGAATGAGATACCAGCCCAATATAATGCTTTCTTCCTTTCTAGTTCATTTAAACTGAAGCAGTTTAAAAGAACAACTTAACTAAGGATTCTTACTCTATGTGATTATATAAATAGAAGCAGAGTCAGGGATAGGTGGAATCCAGTATTCACAATAAGCACCTGGTAAACATATTAATTGAGGGGGTGGCTAAAACCTCTCAGGGGGACCAGCCTAACCAATTATCACCGAAGTAAATTCAGCATCATGATTTGTTAACAACTAACCAGTAACTTACAGAGCATACACTGTATAGTTGAATAGACATACAGTATAGTGTATTTAAGCACAGGTGTTGCATATTTGAGATTACTCAAATTAATTACTACAGTATATCAATTTATCAGTTGCACTGAAGTAGACAAATTTGTGAGAGCAGATTCTCATATGGTTAAAAGCAAACAGCTTGATATCAGATCAGTCCATTACCAGAACTAGAGACAGGTACAAATTGTCCCTCCTAACTAAAAGGAAGTAGCTTTTAGCCCATTACCTTGAACACATAGGAGAAAGAGGCACAGGAATTTTAACCTTGATTTCATCATAAATTGGGCTGGAATCCTTTCATAATGCTTCATTAACTTAAATAATGTTATGCTACAATAAATGTACTTAGCAGTTTTGGTGTCTTGGAGGTCTATTGCAGTTCCTTGTCTAGCTGGCTAAGAGGTCTGACATATTCTTTCATAAGTACTTTTAGGACCAACGCAGCCCTAATTCCTGGATTCCCCTCAAGCACCCTTATGAAACTGTAATGTAAAAATGTGTTTGCAGCTCCTGTTCTTATGCTCTGAATCATGCCAGATTTTATAATCATCATTTGTACTGGGAAAAGGTGTGCATTTCTTCAATAACTCACATTCACTCTATAAGACCATAAAAACTGTTCCTACAGTAATTATTGCTATCTCCTGGAGGCCCAAGTTCTACATGCAAATGTTCAAGTGCTGGCAACATTAAAACAACTCACATCCTGTCTTTTACAAGAAACATCAAATATTTAAAGAACCGTTAACACCAAGCTAAATTGAAACACTACCCAAGAACAAATAAATGAAAGTCAAACAAACATCAATCAACTTAACTTACCTTATATACTAGGAGAGAATTAGACACAAAAGGATATCTAAAGAGAATAATCAGGAGTTTAGCAAGAAGTCAGCTTTTAAGAGATGCTGCTCCTAGGGCTAGAAACTTAAAATAATCATACTAAAAATGCAGAAAATAGACTAGAACACTGACATGCCAAAAAAAAAAAAAAAAAAACCCATTGAGTGTGTCATAAATGAAATAACTCAATGAATTATACCCAATCCCATTCCACAATAATAAATCTCACCTGGTAAATATCATTGTTCCACAGGTGTAGAGTGGCCAGTCTAAAATCCTCTCTTGGGGGAGGGGGGTCTTTTGGCACCCCCCTCCCCCTTCAAAGCTGCTTCTTAAAGAATCAGTGCAAAAGGATAAACCAAAATGAGTGATGTTTCTTTAACTGCCTAGATAGATCTTCTTATGCTGGAAGAATGAAAACGTATTCCTGTAATCCCTGACACTACTGCAGGGATCTTGGCTTGGTTTTTGATTCCCAAGGTAATTCCCGTCAAGTCTTTGAGGTTCTTACAGAATTTTCCATCTCATAAAGTAGATGTCCATTCTACAGTAGAAATCCCGCTGAGTGCACAAGTCACAATGTCCCATTATCATATCCTGGCTGTCTCCTCAGATCATGCCCTCAAACTTAAATCCATATGTGTCCATGGAGTAGTTTTCAAAGGCAAACTCAAACAAACACAAATTTTCTGGATTTAAACTATTTGCACAGGGTGTCCTTCCAGTTGTTCCAGCCTCAGCCAACATGCCCTGCATAACACATAAATCCAGATTAGAAAACATTTCTGATCTTGGGATAAGTTACTACCATATGATTTGACTAGTAATGCTAATTCCAGAAGTACAGTTAGGCTTCAGGCTTTCCTTTTATCAATATTTCTCTTCTGCTTCACATAACAAGAGTTCTAATCTAAAATTTTAGGCACAGCAAGACATTTTCATGATCCAAAAATGGAAGCAAGAGTTTCTTGACCATCCCATCTTGAGTCTTAAGGTAAGAAAGAATACACCACTCGCTTTCTTTCTCATATAGGGATGCACACGCATCTATTACACACACACGCACATTTATACCCAAATACCAGTTTGGGAGAGATCTCCACTGACATTTCAGCTGCCAGTCAGCAAGGCCGATACTGGCCTAGATAAACCAATACTCTAGCCCAGTATTAGGCAGCTCCTCATGTTCTTCTATGTTACTAATACTGCGGTGGTTTATACAAATACACCCATCTTTGGGAGTTCTCCTCACTGGTTCCCTTTGAAAACTGAACGCCGGGGCCTGTTCACAGGCTGGCTCGGCCCTCCTCTTCTCAGCGATGTTGGGGGCCTCTTCCTTCCCTCGCCACAGGTTTTATTAAATAAGGCAGTAATTATCTGGAGAGGAAATGAACTGGCTTCCTGCGGTCCACGAGCCCCGCGCCCCCTCCCGGTTCCTCCCCCAAATTGCCTCGGCCAGGCTCTCCCTCTGAGAGCCGTTTCCCTTCCTC